TTTGAATCAGCTGTTGTAGACGAGATATTACAAGATCATTTTTATCATACAATTTCTGTGCAAGTTGCAAACCTCGCAAATGCATCCATCCATCCACCCATAAGTAGAATTTGCAGCTTGCACGATATGCATCATACATAAATGAAATTATTTTGACAGGCAGGGAAAGCATGCAAGGTGTCGAAAAATGGCATACAAGCAATTAACTGAAAGCAGCAATCAGTGACATCTCCCTCAGCAAACTTCTCTTGTATGTATAAATTGATGCCTTATTACTCCCAGGAATTGTATGCATCTGTGACCATGTGCTTTGTACAACGTCCCGTACTCCCGAGAATCCCCAAGAGTCTGGAATTCATCCTTTGAAAGTAGCATAGCTTTGACTGTTCTACATTTTCAAAAGAAATATAAATCCTCCAGTTACAAACCTTCCACCTTAATATAATCGAATTCTGATCAAAATGGATTGAGTTTGAAAAGCCTCAAGAATTGCCCACAGATGCAACAATACCCGTCATCAGTTTCATTCATGATTAATAAAGATTTTCCTGTTCGACTAAAACCACAATGATGACATCATCTCATTCATCTGTAATATACCTCAAACTCTCGGCAGGATACTTAGAAAAATATTTCAAAATCCATCCACATCTCCAACGTTCACCCCCATACATCCGAATAATAAACACCTTCTTAGATAACATTTAGCAAGCAACCTTACCAAACCACTTTCGCCATTTAACTTAGCCTACCGAACCCATCGCAAGTGGAATGAAAAAATGAATTTGTAACAATGGAAGGGAACTTCCACACTGTTTAACAGTGTGCTTAACAGTATTAAGCATGAAGGGTACTTTCACACTGTTTAACAAAACAGAATCCTAGTGACGTCCAATGGATGCTACTTCTGACCTGTCCACATTACAGTGTGAAGTACCCTTCATGCCACAATCCATCTCTCCTACCCCATACCATTGAATTCCGATAACAATCCGCGTCACGATCGGTTCGGCAACCACGACAAGAACTCATGAAACTGTTAGTAAATAAATATTGTGTTCCAAGGTGATCACTTTGGATAGTCAATGCGAAAGCCTTATGCGATTCACCACTTCAGTCATATACAGATACTGATTTTCGCATGCATTAGACTAACAAACATTATTGCACAGCAGTCATTCAATCCACATAAAAATATCGAAACAAAACATCGAAATTACGTTAAAATACAATAGTTGCAGGCTGTCATATTGAGAACTTCAAATTAAAATTCCAAAAAGAAATCCTAAATTAGGGTTCTGAAGAGAACCACAAACGAATGCGGTAGTAAACCAAACGAGAATCTTGTCAAACGAATAAAAAATCACCGGAATTATCTCAAAATTTTTGAACGCGCAACAAATATTCATAAGAAAAAAGAACTGTAAGCTAGATCTGCAGTAAAATGTAACAAAACTCCGATAATTCCAGAAAGATCTCAATTTCAAACTACATTAAGGCAGTAAAGTCATACGAAATATCTGATATTAAAAAAAATTTTTGTTTTCAAATCAATAACTGCAATGTAAAAAAAAAGGTGAAAACAGAAACTGGGATCAAAGGAAAAAATGATACATACGATAAGCTCACATCTCCACTAAATCTATTACATTCCACTTATTTTTTTTGTAATTCCGGAAAACCTACGATCACAAAAAAGGGCATCAAAATCTGTTACACATTTTATTTTGTCTAAATTTATTGAAAAGAAAATCTTAATTTAAATAAAAAACATATATAAATCATAATATGGAGAACACTGTGATACAATCTTTAATGCATGCCAGATGAGATCAATTACCATCAGGAATGGATGGAACTTTCCAAAAAACAGCGGTAAAGTGAGACCTTCAACTTTTATGTGCATACTTGACCAAATGAACTGGTAAATATAACAGAAACTTGTAATTATTTAGAATAGCAATTCTGATAAAGATGTAAGTTTCAGTTATTCGGAAGAACTAGGGATAAGAAATCTTTGAAAAATTAAGGAGAGCGTGCTAATGACGAGGTAATGCAAGACCTGCAATCTAGCAAACAGTGTTCGTTTAAGTCATCACTTAAGAGCTGATTGCTCATTCGGTCTTACTGCTTCTGTTTCAAAATTTCCATCATGTAACCTGAAAAAATAACCGAAAAACTTGCTCTATTCAAAAATAAATGCCACTTTAAAGAGAAGATCCTGCTAAACAAAATAGCAACTACGTTTATCGTAATGAATGATAAAGAATATTACATTGAAAAAATCAAACTGAATGTGGTTATCAAACATATCACTGTTTAGAAAAATTCAAATTGATGACGACTGCTAATTTTTCCCTCCTGATCATTAATTAAATTATTTGTGAGCAGTAATCAGACGTTATTAAAAAAAACCTTTTGATTAACTATTTCTTATCAGTTGACATAAAACAGCAATAATAAACTGACCTCAGTCTTTTCGTAGCGAGGTCATCACCAGAGATATCACCTTTCTTAACAAGCTGCTCTCTTATTGTTTCGCCAGTTAGCGTTGATTCCGAGGATCTTTTTCGTGATATGCTTTGGTCTTTTTGATCCTAAAAATGACTAAAATTTAAATTACTGCAAATTTTTCTTTTTCTGCCATAATCACAAACATGATCTAACCAGCTTATCATACGACTGCAAAAACATAACCTCTAAACCGTATCTGTCTCATTATATTATTAAATATGTTAATTGAAGAAAAGGGTTTAAAAGTCGAGAAACATGGAATAAGACTTTGATTATTTTTTGGAAAAGTTATTTCACCCTTAAAACAAAACAATTCGCAATATCCAACAAATAATGCATCCATTTGATTCATCTGCAGTTTTTCTGCCCTTTTCACTAACTCTAATTCATTAAAATAGAGAAATTTTCTACATTTCATAATCCGGAGACTAATGAAATCAGTGAAAAGACTGAGACATAACTACCTACTTAACAAAACAAAAGTTAGAATTCAAATTCAGCACTATGAACTAACCTCATCTTTTTTGATATCGTCAATAGAAACAGGAGAGGGTTCATGATCGCCCGACGTGCTGCTTACGTCATCCTGATCGTCACTAGATGACTGACTGCTAAGATTTGAAGAAGGCCGGCCAATTGAACTCGAGCTTGAAGGTAGTGAATCTCCCGTTGATCCGGAATCCGTGGTTTCGTCTTCCTCATCACTGTCACTCTCGTCGTACTCTACCAGGGGCTTAAATTGATATTGCTAATATTACCAGTCAACAACCTTTTCTTCGAAAATTTTCAGATTTTTACATCCTTAGAAAAAACTTTTAGTTTTAGGTTAATTTTTTAGGACCTGAACTGCAAATAAATAATTGGACACAATAAAACAATTAGATAAACAAAAAACTGTGTCCTGCATCGTAACCAACCTTTTTGGCAAGAACGGTTACAACGCTTGCGGATGACGCTACACGCGAGGAGGTTGAACTAGATGGAGAATTTCCAGTTTCGGTGGACGAAACAACTGGATCACCAGGCGGTGAATTGCATGTTGGTTGGGCAGGTAATGATAAAGAAGGGTTCTGTTTATCGGTATTTACCTGGAATTTTGATCAGATTTAGGCTGCTTTGCAAAAAAATAAGAAAATTCGCAATGATACCTACTGCAAAAAATTAAGAAAATTTGCAATGATACCTACTGCAAAAAATTAAGAAAATTCGCAATGATACCATTCGTTAAAAAATGCTAGGCCTAAGCAACCGCTCACTGCACTGTCATAGTAAAGTAATGCTGGTGAATATTATTAACTAAAGCGAACACTTGTGTATTTGACAGTAACATATTATCAAAAATGACAATGAATAGTGATATACTGACGACAGTAAGAATGTCTTATATTGCACCGATCGCACAAACTTTTCCAATTCTCTTGATCTTCAGAAAAATTGTATCACAAATATAACCCAAACGAAATAAAGCATTTATTCACGACTCAACCTATAATTTATTACCACTCCTACGCTCATAATTATACAATAGATATATTTGGTCTATGAACTTCTGCGACTCTGTTATTTCATGATAACATGAGGCACTTCTAAGAATCTTATCTACCTACCTCATCCGATGAACATCACGACGATGATAAATATGATATATCAGAATCCAATGCGATATACGCTTCACTTTA